GAACCAATAAGCAAATAAGCAGACAATCACTTTTCATTGGCAAAATGCAGTCACATGTAGTGGCTCCAGCCAGAAGCCAAGCTATGCTAGAGCAGGGGCGGGTGATTATTTCGGGCAGAGGGCTGCTTACTGAGTTTTGGCTAGCCATCGAGGGCCGCAGGACAAGCAGCTGGGGCAGATAAGTATTAATTTTCTAAATTTTTTAGGGGTCCCGTGGGCCACATAGAATGGCCTGGCAGGCCGCTTCTGGCCTGTGGCCCGCATTTTGCCCACCCCTGTGCTAGAACATGCCTCTGCTAACAGGAAGGGGAGAGAGAAAGCCCTGCTGGAGCAGAGGGGGCGTGGCCAGGCCCCAGACCCTGCTCTGCCTGGGGGGAGGAGGGGAAAGGTAGTGACATTCATAGTTTCATAGTTGGTAGGGTCAGAAGGGACCTGAGCAGATCATCAAGTCATGGCAGGAAAAAGTACTGGGGTCAAACGACCCCAGCAAGGTGTTCATCTTACCTCCTCTTAAAGATCCCCAGGGTAGTAGCCAGCACCACTTCTCTTGGAAGTTGGTTCCAGATCCTAGCCGCCCTGATTGTGAAGTAGCGCCTCCTGATGTCTAGCCTGAATCTACTCTCTGTCAGCTTGTGACCATTATTTCTAGTCACTCCTGATAGTGCTCGGGGGGAACAGGGACTCCCCCAATGCCTGTTGGTCCCTCCTGACTAGTTTGTAAATGGCCACTAGATCCCCCCTCAGCCTTCTCTTGTGGAGGCTGAACAGGTTCAGGTCCCGCTGCTAGAGATGCATCTGTGGATGCATGACAAGGTGTGGTTGGCCTTCCTGACCGCGTCCCCACACTGTTGGCCCATGTTCATTTTGGCATCAATAACGATTCCAAGATCCTTTTCTGCCTCTGCACTGACAAGAAGGGAGTTCCCCAGCCTGTAGGTATGCTGCTGGTTCTTCCACCCCAGGTGCAGCACCTTGTACTTGTCAGTGTTGAAACCCATCCTGTTCTCCTCTGCCCACCCCTGTAACCTGTCTAGGTCCAATTGCAGCCTATTCCTCCCTTCTAGCATGCCCACATCCCCCCCACACCTTAGTGTCGTCAGAAAATTTGAACAGGGTGCTTTTTACCCCCTCGTCCAAGTAACTGATGAAGATGTTGAACAGTGCGGGTAGAGGACCGAGCCCTGGGGGACCCCACTGCCCACATCCCTCCAGGTCGAAAATGACCCGTCCACCATCACTCTCTGGGTGCAGCCCTCCAGGCAGTTAGTGACCCATTTGACTGTGTAGGTGTCGACGCCACAGTCCCCTAGTTTTTTAATGAGAATGGGGTGAGAGACAGTGTCGAAGGCCTTCCTGAAGTCCAGAAAGACTATGTCCACTGCTACCCCTGCATCTAAGGATTTTGTGACCTGGTCATAGAAGGCTACCAGGTTGGTCTGACAGGACCTGCCTCTAATGAACCCATGTTGGTTGACCCTAAGCATAATCTCCCCTGCTGGCCCCTCATGGACATGCGCCAGGATAATTCTCTCAAAAAGCTTACCCAGGATCGAGGTAAGACTAACAGGCCTATAGTTTCCTGGATCCTCCTTCCTCCCTTTTTTGAAAATGGTAACCACATTGGCCCTTTTCCAGTCCTCTGGCACCACACCAGAGCGCCACAAGTGCTCATAAAGCTGTGCCAGGGGTCCCACAATGACCTCTGCTAATTCCCTCAGCACTCTGGGGTGGTGATCGTCAGGACCAGTTCATTTAAATACGTCCAGTCCCTCCAGAAGTTCCCTGACTAGATCCTCACTGACCCTAGGCCTGAATTAATAAAGGCTTGAACAAGAATAGTTCTCTCTCTGAAAAACTATAAACTGAATTGAAGCATGGGCTGTGTATTCACTTACTCTTCCTGCTGCCCCTGAGGTCTCTGGGATTTGCAGTCACAACCACAGCAGCAGGACTCTGCAGGGTTGCTCATTACTTCCTCTTCCTGCTTCCAGATGCCTCTGGGATTTGTACATAGTCGCAGCTGGCACTAAGTTTTAGCAGGGCTGCTCTGTACTGGGGTAAGGTGAGTTTAGCCCCACTCCCTGTCCAGACACCAGCCAAGATTTTCAGAAGGGGGGGGGGGGGGGGGGGGAGCAGACAGCCAGTGAGCCAGCCCTCACAACTCCAGCTAGGGAGCAGAGGGGCAAGGCCAGTCCTGCTCTATGGCTTTATGGAGCAGACAGCCAGCCCAGCCCAGCCCAGGACTGGAAAATTCTGGGGAACTGTGATTTAACTTGAACCAGGAAGGGGTCTGAGATAGAAGTTTCATAAACCAATTTGACCCAAATCAGTTAAGTCTGATACTACATTCAACCAGGTTTACCTTAAACCAGTTTCAGGCATTTTGAAGTTGGTTTACGTACACAGAACTTATGCTCTATTACAGGTTTAAACCAGTTTTTGATCACTTAAACTAGTTTGTGTGTAACTTCTGCCCCTAGCCTATGAGAGAATCCAAGAAAATATATTTAAGAACAACACTAACAAAGCCTCTGAAGTCATGGAATACCTAACCAGTAATCAACAAGTTAGAACAATAATTACTAAGAACAAAAGGATGAACAACATCTCACTGAAACTAAAGCAGTCAAAAAACAGATGGAAAAGAATAAGTTGCAGAGATATATCATTACAAACTTAATGCTGATTCACGTGTACTCATCAAAATTATCGAGGTAAAATGTGACGACGATCCACCAGTTCTCAGGTTTGACATTGAAGCAACTGTTAAAGGTCTAAAAATAGGAAAAGCTCCAACCCAAGACAGTGTATCTGCTGAATTTTGAAAGCAGAGAGGAAAAATCATGACTGACATTCTTAAGATTTGTAATATGTGGCAGCCTAGAAACTGACCCGAGTATCTGACAAAATCAACAGTGATACCTATAAGAAAAAAGGAAACTTGCAAGAACGCAATAATTACACAACTATAAACTAAATAAACCATGTAAACAAGGTACTGCTAGATATCTTACTGAACTGAATGAAACCACAGATGTCACATATGCTAACAGAAGTACAGGCAGACTTCAGGAAAGGCCATACATAGCACAACTGAGATTTGTGATTAGAGAATATTGGATGGAAGATACTGAAGACCAGATGGAGCAGGATCACAACTTTATGGATCTCAGAAAAGCTTCTGATTGTATTTGGAATGAACAAATTGCTCCATGAGCAATTATGGCAAAGCATAATATTAAATCCAAGGATTATTAATACCATGAAATTCTCTAAAGCAGTGGTTTTAAACCTGAGGGGTGCTCACGGCACCACTCAGCAAATGCCAGCAAATGCCAAAATAGTTTTCACTATTTTGATTACAAAAAAATAGCATAGCAATTCTTCCATTGCTAAGAACTCAGAAGGATCACAGTACATCGGAATTTAACACCATGAAATCTCTGGGTTTATTTTATGAACAGAGAGGCAATCCACTGTGCTCGTCTGAAATCAGTCAGGAGGCAGGGTGGATATGCACCTTTATAGACGAAATGAGATACATATACAGAGCACAAGCATTTATGAACCCAAGTTCACTTTATCAGATGCTGTGAAAGGCATCCTTTCACAGAATCTGATTAAGCGCACATGGGTTAACAAAAAGCTTGTGCTCCCTCTCTCTCTATGTATATATATTCATTAGTTAAGTTTATAAAGGTGCTTATTCACCCTGCCTTTTATCTTGTGAATCATGTTTGTGCCCCTAGCAATGCCAACATTGCATGGCACCCCACAGCACTCTTGAAAGAATCTCAAGGCACCCAGGATGCCATTGCACCCTGGTTGAGGATCATGGCTCTAGAATAGCAGTGCTTGACCTTTTTGGCTGGTGGGCCAGATGGGCAATGCCCAGGCTGTTCGTGGACCGGATCCGACTAGTGATCCCAACCTGGCACAGGGCAGTCACAGCAGGGTCTCATCTGGCCTTGTGAAGGGGGCCAGGGGCATCCCAGCTCCAACCTGGCCAGGGGGGAGGCAGTATGGCCCAGCCCCACATAAGAAAGAGAGCATGGCCCAGCCCTAAGGCCCTATGGGGGAAAGGGGGTGTGCCTAGCCCTAACCTAGTCTAAGAGGGGGAAGGGATCTTGACCTGGTCCCGCAGGGCGAGGGGGCTTGAGCTGATCCCAGTCCGGTCCCACAGGAGAAAGGGGCATGGCTCAGCCTCATCCAGCTACAGGAGTGGATGGAGGGAATGTGACCTGGCCCCATCCTGCTGCACAGGGTTTGGGAATTTGGCAGTGGGGGAGGGTGGCCATATTTATTGCCACCACTCACCTGCCACCAAATTTCCCAATCAGCAGGACAGATGCTTATAGCTCCATTGGCTGCATTTGGCCCATGGGCCAGAGGTTTAGCACCCCTGCTCTAGAACAACATAATCAATTCTGTCTTTGCGGGGAAAACCTTAAGTGAAGAATTTAAGGCTAGTGTTGATGAAAAGCAGGGTTGCCTCCTCACTCCTCTTTTAAGCCTCTTTCTCGAGCAGATTATGTCATGTGCACTTGACAATATTTAAGTTTCAAACAGAAATAAAGTAACTGTCAAAGAGAGGTCATTAATGACCTGCTACAATAGCACTCTGAGACAGCAGAGGTTATGTGAAACTGAACAGACCTTGGAAACCCAGCAGCAGCTTCAACTAGAAGGTAGTGAAATAAGAATAAGACTTTTTTTCAACATCATATAGAAATTTACAGATGTCTGACTTCACTTCTCTATGCCATTTTCCTTTTCCTAAGACAAGCATGGCTGATTTCTACCATCCTTCAGCTATCGGTTGCCAAAATCCTTGTAATAACTGGAAACAAAATTGTATTTGTGCCATACAAACATTCATGTCAATCACATCTTCAATTTGATATCTATGAATGACAAATCTTTTCAGTGGCGCTCAAGCAGTAAACCTGTACATTATCATCATCTTCACAACAAAATGCTATATTTTATGTTTTAAACAGGTAATTCAGTTTTCACAAGCGGTAAGCTGAAGGTTGTCTAAAATGAGAAACAGGTTCCCAGCCCAGGACTGAGATCTTCATGTTGGAAAAGTAAGACTGTTTTGACGCATTATGAAGAACCCCTTCCTACACGCGCACACAAACACACCACACCTTAGAGTTTAGATGCAAGGGACTCCTGTAGACTCACTTCTATGTAAAAATCGCCCATTAAAGTCACAATTTAACCTCATTAGTAAAATATATTTAATTTTGAAATTTAGTGAGTGTATTCCAACACTATAATCAGGGAGTACCTGTTTCAGGGGGAAGGAGGAGTCATTCACCACCGTGGAAAGTCTACTCTAAATCCAGCTTCAGTTGTTAGTGATCAAAAATATAATAGACTGTGCGCCATGAACTGATGATCTCAATATAGTTTCCAAGCAACCTTAGCATGGAGTCAGGACACAATGGGTATGGTGAATGAATCAGCCCTTTATCTCCAGGGTGGTCCATGCATATCACAGCTGAGTGATGAGAGAAGAACAATGAGGAGAAGCCTGTACTACAGTTGTATACATTGCATCTCTTCTGTGGACACATGGGGAATATATGCATCCTACACCTTTCAAACCTCTGCATTCACTATAAACATATTTTAATTTAATGTAAGAAGACATAGACATGATGATACCAGGAAGGTTTTAAGAACTAAATTGAAAGAGAAGTTGAAAACAATGAACCAAAGGTAGAGGAAGAAGGGTGCAAAAGATTTCTAAAAAAAGCCAGATCAGCAAGAGATACCAAGGAAACAAGAGAAGAACAGAAGTAGAAACAAATTTTTAATTTTTTCACATCTTGTATCACGCAGCATGATTCATCCTTGGATTAAGCCAGCCTCTGCCCCAAAAGGCAGAAAATTCATGGGCTGGAGGGAAGCTAACACCACCAAAATCAAGTGGTTTAGATCAGGAAAGCATTGTGGTCCTGCTGCTCCAGAGGATGTGCTACTTTAATGGATTCTTTGAGCAGTATCTCCTTCTGGGGCTCCTATAGTATCCCAAGTACTGTGTATACTGTTGTGGAAACCTTAGCCAATGCAGGAATGTATACTCAGCTTGTTCTCCCTTGTACCATATAGCTATGGATCATTCCTGTCTATTCTTCCAATGTCAGTGAAGGTTAGGGAAATTTTAAAATTGTCCAGGTTAAGTGAAAATGTTAACCTATTAAAAAGGTTGCAAAATCTCAGGCAGTTGGTAACACATAAGGACTTCTCTACCTTCTTCCACCACCATCTTCTGACAGTGAAAATGACATTGCTAAAAGAAGTGTCACTATGGAAAGAATAAGCCAAATCACCTAATAGTAAGGTTCATAAATAGGGAAATAGAATGAAAACATCACTGCAATGAAAGAGAAAAAAAGGAAATGGTTATAGAAAGAATGGGATACAAATAACACTGTAATGGATTTTAGTTCTGTTTGCATAGACAGTAAGAGCAGTGGAAATGGAGCGTTACTAGGGAGACAGATCTCCTGCAGAATGTATAGAAGCAGCGGCTTTGGAAACATTTAAATAATGTATTGGAAAAAAAATAAAGGCAAAAAGCTCCTTATGTAAAGTGAAAACACCAAGGGCAGAGGGCTCTGTAGTATCTACATTTTATAAAAATGCAGCGAGCACTAATGACATAGTGCCTCTGTCAGGAAAATATTCTGTAAGAGAAGCTTTAATGACAATTTAACTAAGGCTAATGAAATTCTAATACAATCTATATCTTATTCTATACATTGTTATTAATAATGAACAATAACGTTATTCAGTAAGAGCCAGGTCCTGCAAAGTCTTACTAGCTAAAGGAATTCTCACTTGTGCAAGAAGTTACCCTAAAGTTACAGTGGTGATCTGAGTAATGAAAACTAAAAGAAAGGGAATATATCCTTAATATGAACTGAGGGTTACTCAACAGAATTTATCTTGCAGGACAAACCTTCTTCAGGACAACTGGAAATTTAAGGCACCATCTGTTAAATGGAGGTATCATTTATGCAGAATCAGGGCTCAACATCTGACTGACTGTTTTGCCATGGAAATAAAGGAGGAAAGCAAAGTTTTTAAAAAAGCATCTATTCAAGGACAATCAAATTTGTGGAATGTAGGTTATCATTTAATTTAGGATAAAGAAATACAGGACCAACTGCAAAGGCCATGTTTCCATGTAAGGCATACATTTCTCTTTGGATTGGAAATATCTGCTTGGCAGCCTCAAAAAAATGAAATTGGGAAATAAGGAAACGAGTTGCAGTGAGTGTATACATAACCAAGTCACCAGAGGTAGCTTTTTTGGGTGGTTAGTACCAGGACACTATTGTTAATAGTTCTAACTGCCCCTGACTCATGATGTGTGATTTCAGGCAAGGAGTGCCTCACTGGCAGGATCTAACCCAGAGATGTGCTAACTAAAATAATCCCCCATCAGGATGGGAGCTCTGATCAACGAGCACTGACTACATCAGCTTACTACATTCCTTGCTAAGGTTATCGTGCTTATTTTAATTGGTGGTCTTTGTAATTTTACTTCCCCCACCCCTCTAACAACATGTATGGGGAATTAGGATGAGGTAGTGGGAGAAGGAAGATAATATGCTAGGAAGGACAATTTAGTAGTAGTAAACCCAGGCAGAGAATCACTTGATTTGGATCCTAGTCCCTCCTCTGTCGCACGCTTACTCTGTGACCTTGGGCAAACAAACCATTCTTTAACCCCGCTGTTGAATGGATATAACATGTACATGATTTTCTGGACGATGCGGGAATTTAACTCCTTAGAGCCATTCTGGCTTGAGCTTTCAGGAAGTACTG